ACGGCCTTCAACACTCCCTCATTGTGGACGCCGGGGTACCCCCTCTGTCTCTCCCTCCTCCCGGGGGGCAGGATCTCGCCCCTCTCACGGCACGAAACAGCCGGGCTCCGGGATCACACGGGGTGGGGGGCAATCATCTTTTTAATTTCCTCATTTTTGACTCCTTTGGATCAAACCCCCCACCGCCACCACCGCCGCCGCCTCCTCTTCTCCTCCTACAGCCGCACTTGTGCGCCAGGCAGCTGCGCGCAGTTTCAGAAGTTGGGAGGATGGATGTCGGCTCGCCGGTCTCTAGGAGAGATCTGGTTTTCGCCCCGCTTTTATTTCTCGTTTAGATTTTGTGCTGGGGGTGCCGGTGTTGTTGTTGTTGTTGTTCCTCTTGGAGACACAAAACCAGAATTGCACAGCAGCAAATCCGACAGCGGGGTCTGTTGTTGAAGGCAAGCGGAGCCACAAGCCGAGAAGATGGGGTCTGGCTGAGACTGAGTCGGGCGGCGGGGGGTTTGGGGGGGGGGCAGCCGGCCTGGAGGCTCTCCCTCGCTCACCCTATCTCTTCTCCCCCCGTTACTGTGTTTTTTTTAAAACGACGGCGATTTCCGCGCCCCCGTGTTTCCAGAAATCCGGATCATTTTCGTGAATAACCCCCCCTCCAGGTCTCTCGCCCTGGCTGCGAAGGAAAAGCAAGTCTTCCCCAGGCACGGAACAGTCAACTTATCTTTTCCATGGGCGTCCAGTTCTGCCGGCTTTGCTAGCCTGTCTGCCGCCCCCCCCCCCCCCCGGTTTTCCCGGCTTGAAACCAAAGTTACCTTCCCCCCCCAAATTTAAAAAATTCAAATAAAACACACCCCAGGCCGGCTCCGCCGTAGAAACAAAAACAAACCGCCACACTCCCGTCTCCCCTGCGCCGGACAGAGCGCTAGCTGCACTGAGGAAGACACGCGCCGCCTAAGATTCAGGCGACCCGCCCACTGCCCGCGTCATCGGCGCCTCCCAGCCAATAAGAGGGCAGGCAAGGAACACTGTGACTTGTGACAGCCAATAGGTGTGCCTCCTCCGCGTCGAGGCAGCTGGAGTGACAGGGCCGAGAGATTTAAATCTCTCGAAACTGCCGCCATTGTGGCTCAAGGCGACTCGTGCGGAGCGCTACCTCGCCTGCCTTCCCGTGGATCCAAAATGGCAGGCGGAGTGAGCGCAGTTTCAATACGTCATGGACGAGACTGTACACCAATCATTGAACGCCAAGGGCAGAGTTTTCCTGTCTCCGTCAGATTAGCCAATCGTTGTTGACGCAGCCAGACGAGACTGGGGTTTTCGCTCGGTCACGGCTAGCTGTTAGAGGCGTGCTGTATAGGGATTTTAAAATCTTAATCTTCTGGTTACCTCAGGCAGAGAAGGGGCCTTTATGAGAAAATATAATTAAGACGCCGAATTCCTGTGCGTATACAAAAGATGATGCGCCCCACACGCGAGGTCAACTTAATAAGAGCAAGTGTGTGTTGGCGCCCCCTGGTGTCCACGGTTTGTCATGGCAGTGAATGGTAATATACAGGGTCATCCCGGGTTCATTGAGGAGTACTACCACGAACAGGTGTTTGCACGAGTTGCCTTGCAAACAAATAAAACCTCCACTTCTCCTCTTGTGTTCTGGTTGCAGGTAAACCACAAATTCCCCAGTTGCGTTTTGTTTATGTGAAGAGACCATTACCATCTCATTGCAAGCATGCCTTCTCATTAAAACAGACCATAGGGTCCATTGAAATGGACCCCATGCATTGAAAGAGGGAGGCAGTCACAGGGTTAGTCCTCCAAAAATATTCCAACACATCATCACAGGAAAACACTCGGACCTGCATTAAAATTCCATGCAGTGGAAGTGTTGGCACTATCAGCAGGGAATAAATGGCAGAATACATTAGCTTTGTTGCACAAATACTGTGATACTGTGTATCCAACAGAGTTGTGCTACTGTCAAAAATAAAGGCACCCCTATAGATTTCCGAAGCCCTGGGTAGCTCAGTTGGTAGAGCATGACGCTCATAATCTCAGGGAAGTGGGTTTGTGTCCCACGTCAGGTGTGAGGTTCTCTAATAACCCATACCGGGCAGCAGCAGTATGGGGCTGGGTTGGTGCTGGAGGGTCACATATCCGTGACAACGGCAACAACACTCGCACTGTCTGCGCGGAAGAGAGGCCTGGCGATCTACTTCCTGTCCTCCCATGAAAGCCCTGTGGATAGTGCCGGCGGACCTGTCCGTAGGGTAGGGTAGAAACACCGTCTCTCTGGTTGTCTGGCTAGTCGTTACAGGAGGATTCCTTCAGGAGTGGTAAGGTGAGGAATCCATGACAAAATAAGAATAAATTTGAGGGAAAATACCCCGGTCATATTTTGCAATCCCTCTGACAACAAAACCGAACGAAAAGAGCATTACTTCACAACATCAGCAGGTGGTAGGCGCAGAAAAAGATTGAGACGTTTCATTATTGGACATGACGTGTCGCATTAGCATGAAAACTAAATATTAATTTGTTTGTTTTTTTTGGGGGGGGTGAGGGTTAGTTTACTGGGTTGCAAGATTTAGCAGCGGTGTGAAGGCAAATGGGCTACCTTCATCAATTTCCCTACGGGATTAATAAAGCATTATCTATCTATCTACCTTCCTGCCGCTGGCGTGTTCAAATATCGAACGAGCCGCCCAGCTGCTCTCTCCTGGTCAGCGTTTGGCGGTAATGTGAGGGCGCGGGCACCAGCTGCGCATTCCACGTCACGAGACTGAAGTTCGGGCCTATTATGACCTGATCCAGGGGTGTGGAGTCGCAGGAGATGGATTTAGGCCTGCAAGGTCTTTGTCCGAAGCCCGGTGTCCTGTGCCTGTATACATCTGCCATCAAACTGCTTTTGTCCTCCCTGTGTTCCTTCCTGCCACCAACTGGGAACAGTTTAGCAACTGACAGAAAGAGTTCTGATGTCACACATACTGGAAAACAAAGGCTTGCTGAATTGTTTTCTTTTTTCGCCCTGCTCAGTCAGTAGGAAACAACGGAGATGCACCAGACTTTTAATCCTATTATCCTCTCTAATAATAACAGCGATAATAAATCCAGGCATTTTGTGTGATGCTTTTCACCCCTAAGGGTTTCCAAATAGCATTTTACTGTACATACAGGGGGGAACCCAGTTCGTCTCATATTGAAACGTTCTTCCCAAATACCCCCCTGGCCTTTACCAATCATGGCCTCATAATAATCCCCATCTCTGAACTGGCTTCATCACTCTGCTCTCCTCCCTACTAAGAGCTGGTGTGTGTGGAGTGTACTGGTGCATCATCCAGGTGGGGCTGCACACTGGTGGTTTTGGAGGGGATCCCCATTACCTGTAAAGCGCTTTGAGTGGAGTGTCCAGAAAACTATATATAAGCATAATTGTAATAATTATTATTACATGCCTACGATGGGTCTCTGTTGGTGATTAAATTCACTGTGTTGTGGATTATTCATTCATTATTCAGGTATAACATCTTTTCATTGGAAGAGTCAGAACACCCTTGATAGATGACATTCAAAGATTTTTCCTTCATTGCAGACTCTGGTCAACTTAGCCTAAATTCCCAGATCTTCCTAAACCGTTCCCTTTTTCAAGTGCACACTGTGGGTTTCGGAAAACCCGAGAGCAAAACAGACTTTGAAACCCAGGCTTCTGGCACCACTTACGCCAGAGATCTGCAGCCCAAAGAAATTCTTTTTTTTTCTAGTCTTAAGATTCACTAATTATCAACAATTAATTCATCCCCAGCCCACCTCGAAATAAGAGCACTGTCCTCTTTAACGCAAAGCCTGCTTTCCCTGTGTGCTTGAAGCCTGCTCCAGAAACTTTGCCTCAGTCCCACTCTCTTCGGCTGGGGCTATGGGGTTCTGTGGCTCCTGCACTGATTTATACACTGGAGCGAAAAAGGCACGCCGATATTCAGGAGAGTGGCACAGGCGTAAAAGACAAGGTGATAAATTATCCGAATAATGGCATCGACCTTTACTTGTGTGCCTCTTAATTA